TCCTCTCTCTACAACACTTTGGTGCAGGGGAGCTCCAAGCTGGGGCACAGTGTCAGGTGCAGGATAGGGCAAGGGCTGTAGGCTCTAGGAGGGAGTTTGTGTGCAGGCTCAGGGCTCACACTGGAGGCAGGGTGCAGACTGCCGCTGGAAAGTACTTACAACAGGTGGTAGCAAACAGGGCTCTGCCTGGCCCCACTCTGCTCATGGAAATTGGCAGAGTGCAGGCACCCTCTGTGTGCAACCACTGAGGCTGGGAAGAGGTTTTCATGTGCTGCGCTGCTGCCGGTTCCCACAAGTGGTGCCCCCAATGGCCAATTCTCAGCCAACAGAAGCTGCTTGGAATGTGCTAGGGGCAAGGGCAGCATGAAGCTGCGCCCCCCGGGCTGCAGAGATTGCCTGCACTCAGCCAACAGGCTGCTTCCAGTAGCAGATGGGGCCAGGCAGAGGCAGCCTACCTGAGGTTTACAACTGACTGGCAGAGGCTCCAGGATCTACCAGTTGATCGAGATTGACAGGTTGGTGACCAGTGAGCTAGATCATCATTTCTTTGGGTCACTCTTTTTGTTACTGCGTATGCAAGTCCTAAGACAATAGTGCCCCGAGTCTCCTTATGATGCCCCTAGATTCAATGGCAAAACAAATAAATACATTTCAAGATTAAAAAAAGAAGCTTACTTTGTCTCCTGCATTTGGATTCTTATCAGGGTGGTACTCCTTGGCCAGCTTTCTGTATGCCTAATTGACAAAAAAAAAAAAAAAAAAAAAAAAAAAAATTACGAAAGTGATTAAGTCTGTGATGGATTCCAGGTTTCAAAATACATCAGGTTGATTAACTGAACCTGTACTTGTTAAAGAATGATATAAAGGTCTCTTGTAAATGTGCAACCAGCACCTATTTAAGTCAATACTGCAAGATTAGAATTTGGCCATAAAGCAAAAGTCCATTAGAATAAAACAAATGAGTTTAGTCCATTTATACCTCCAAAATAAAATCAAGTACCTGATGTTTTATTTTACTGCAGGAGAGGGCAATCATTTTAATGGGAGGCTACCCCAAGATTTTGGTAAGTGGTCAAGGGCCACACTTCTGCAGAGAGGGTGCGGGGTCTGGGATGGAGGTTGGGTTCAGAAGGGAGCTTAGGGTAGGAGCCTGGGGTGGAGAGGGTGTGGGGTTTGAGAAGGAGTTTGGGTGAAGAAGGTGGTTGTGATATGGGTAGGGCTTGGGGTGCAGGATTCAGAAGGAGGTACGGATATAGAAGAGGATTCTGATCTGGAGGAGGAGGGGGTTTCAGGGTGTGGGAGGGAGTTGTGCCCTAGGAGAAGGGGATGCAGAGGGTTTGAGTGGTAACCTGGGGCAGAGGAATGGGGTGCAAGATCAAGGAGGGGGTATGGGTGCAGGAGAGGGGTCTGGCCTGGGGGAGGGATGTAGGAGCAGCTGCAGGGTCAGGGAGGAAGTTATGACCTGGAGCAGGTGGTGAAAGAGGGTAGAGTGTTGGCGACCTGGTGGTTGGAGGAGAGGGGGAGTGGAGTGCCAGAGGCAGGCTCTGGCTGGGAGGCTCTTACTTAGGTGGCTCCCAGCCAGCAGCCCTGCAGGAACCTAAAAACTGCCTATCTGCTGCATCTCCAGACTGGTATGCTGCCCCTACCCCCGGCAAAATCTCAGCTCCTATTGGGCAGAAACTAGTTCCAGTAAGGAAGCTATAGGCTGGATCCAGCCTTCGGGCGACATCTTGCCCTGCCCTGTTTTACTGAGTTAACAACTACCCATTTGTTGATTTGGCACATTAATGCATGCACAGAGTAAATGAAGTACTACAAAAACTAGCATTTAACTGTTGATTTTCTGTATTCTGGTTCAGGTATTACACTGAACTAAACCATTTTTCTGTACAGCATTCACTACTGACAAAACTAATTTCCATATGTGAACAAGGGCCGAGGATTATCATTAGCTAGAAGGAATGGATTCACATACCATAGTTATTAAACCATCATGTTGAATACAAATCATCCCCTGATTTGACATGTCCCTCAGGAGTCCATCAACATATTCATAACAAAATGGCTGCCTCAGGTTCTCACCCAAACCAATCAATCCATCCATCCACACTGACAGTTTCTTCATTTTCTTCCATATATAACTCTCCGGGAAGATTTAGCTACACTTTGAATTAAGTACATCGACAGAAGTACGTGGACTCTAGTCTTATAACTCAATTGTTCTGTGACAGTATCACAAGAAAGTAAAGTAAGGACTGTAAGTGGTTTTCAAACTGCTTCTTTCTGTTTGTACACTTCTGGATGTACCTAAGCAACAATATTTCTATGCAGCTTAGCATAACGTACTTTCCTGTGACCACTTCATAGTGGTGGAGCTGAATTTAGTTGGAAAGTTTTCACTACGTTGTCTCAAATCAGTTACTTGTGATGTAGAGGGAAGACTTCTCAAGAACAAGAAAAAGCAGAGTATTGAGAAGGGTTTACACATGGTTTTTCATTTCTACAGTATAGTAGTATTACATAAAGTCTCCACATCATTTTCAACTGACCTATTTACCCAAAATGCTGCATTTGAACAATATTTGTATTATTTTCATTGAAAACAAAGTTCTATAGATAGAACACACCTTCTTTTGTGTAGGGATAACTAGAATGATGTTGGTTTATAATTACAAACCCATCTTTTCACTACATAATTACAAAATAATCTGCATTCATGCATGTAAACAAGGGATAGGAATGTTTACTGTAAAATTTAGCCACAGTAACAACACAGAACCCCGATTATAACCTAGTGTATTCTAGAATACACTGAAAAACTGCAAAATTCCCAGGTCCTGCCAACACTGAGTATGCCAACATACTGCGTGAACACTTATTTGGGTGAGTTGTATGTGACATAAGCAAAACCAAACTTTTATTCTGGCTTATAAGAATGTCCATGTAAGGGTTATACTGGTATAGTTATCAGTTAAAAAACAAACACACAAACACACACACTTTAGCTCATACTACTTCCTGTTTAGACAAATCTTTGGCCAGGGATGTGGCTATACTGCAGCTAAGAGCAAGCATTCCGGCCTGGGGAGACAGACTCACTAGTGCAGGGGTGGCCAACCTGTTACGGACAAAGAGCCAAAATAGTTGTGGATACAGCGCAAAGAGCTGAGGGAAAAAAGTTGTTGAGCAAAACAGACAGACAGAAACATGCTGCCCCTTTCAGGGCCGAGAGTGTGGGAGCCGCAATTTCTTCTTTGAAGAGCCGCATGTGGCTCACGAGCTGCGGGTTGGCCACTCCTGCGCTAGTGTGAAGATAGCTGTGTGGACATAGCTACTTGAGCCCAACCAACCTCTTAGGTCTGAGCTTGGGTGGCTAGCCTGAGTTTTGCTGGAGCCACAACTGCCAGACTGCTGTTTTTAGCATGCCAGTTTGAGCCTCACTACTTTGCTCCCAGCTGCAATGCAGACATACCCTAGAGCCCAAATCCTACAAGTAAATATGCACCACAGCAGTCCACATTTAGCTGAATGGAATTACTCAAATACCCAGTTATTTTCAGATAAGTATTTTCAGGATCTGGGCCTATATTAGCATTCTACTGCAGCCCTAGAAGATAAAAAAAAATAGTACTTAGTACAAATTAATACGGATCAAAAATAGCTTTGCCATCTCATCAGCATCATAATGATAAAACTGTTTTGCTTCGATTTGTTTTAATTTTTCCTTTCTGCTTTGGTGTAAGGACTAGACATCAGATTAAAAGTGTCTCCCTATATTGTCTCAGTTTCATTAGAGTAGCTTGTAAGTATGTTACAAAAGAACGGCCATACTGGGCCAGACCAATGGTCCATCTAGCCCGGTAGCCTGACTGCTTATAGTGGTCAATACCAGATGCCCCAGAGGGAGGGACCACAACAGCTAAACCTTACATGATCCCTCTCCGTCATCCATTTCCAGACAAACAATAGGCTAGGGACACCTTTCCTACCCATCCTGGCTAATAGCCATTGATGGATTTAACCTCCATGAACTTACCTAGTTCTTTTTTGAACCCTGTTAAAGTCCTAGCCATCACTACATCCTCTGGCAAGGAGTTCCAGAGGTTGACTATGCCCTGAGTGGGAAAAAAAAACCTTCCTTTTGTTTGTTTAAACCTGTTCCCTATTAATTTCATGTGGTGACCCCCTACTTCTTATATTGTGGGAATAAGTAAATAACTTTTCCTTATTCACTTTTTCCATACCAGTCATGATTTTATAGACCTCGATCATACTCTCCCACCCTTAGTCTTCTCTTTTCTAAGCTGAAAAGCCCAAGTCTTTTTAACCTCTCTTCATATGGGACCTGTTCCAAACCCCTAATCATTTTTGTTAGCCATTTCTGAACCTTTTCCAATGCCAATATATCTTTTTTGAGATGAGGCAATCACATCTGTATGCAGTATTCAAGTGGTAGGCATACCCTGGGTTTATATAGAGGCAATATGATATCCTTTGTCTTATTCTCTATCCCTTTCTAAATGACTCCTAACATTGTTTGCTTTTTTTTGACTGCTGCTATACATTGAGTAGATGTTTTCAGAGAATTATCCACAATGACTCCAAGATATCTCTCTTGAGTAGTTGTAGCCAAATTAACCCCCATCAAATTTTTATGCATAGACAGGATAATTTTTTCTAATGTGCATTACTTCGCATTTATCAACATTAAAATTAATTTCCCATTTTGTTGTCCTATCACTTAGTCTGGTGACGTCTTTTTGAATCTTTTCACAGTCTGCTTTGGTCTTAAATATCTTGAGCAGTTTGGTATTATCTACAAATTTTGCCACCTCACTGTTTACCCCTTTCTCTTAAAAAACCCCCCCACAAAAACAAACAAAACAAAAAAACACCTTAAAAAGCAATGAATAGCCTTTAAGATGCTATTAGACTAACAAAACATAACTTACTAACAAGTGGATGATGCCCATGAAAGCTCATGATACCATCAACATGTTTTGTTAGTCTTTAAGGTGCTACTAGACTATTTTTTTTAAGTTTTTCTACTTACAGACTAACTTGACTACCCCTCTGAACCCTTTCTCTAGATCATTTATAAATACATTGAATAGGATTGGTCCCAGGACAGACCCTTGGGGACACCACTAGTTCTCTCTCTCCACACTGAAAACTTACCATTTATTCCTATCTTTTGTTTCCTGTCTTTTAACCAGTTATCAATCCATGAAAGGACCTTCCCTCATATCCCTTGACAACTTACTTTGCTTAAGAGCATTTAGTGAGGGATCTTGTCAAAGGCTTTCTGGAAATCTAAGTACACTATATCCACTGGATCCCCCTTGTTCACATGCTCGTTGACTCCCTCAAAGAACTCTAGCAGATTAGTAAGGCATGATTTTTCTTTACAGAAACCATGTTGACTTTTCCCCAACAAATTATGTTCAGCTACGTGTCTGATAATTTTATTCTGTATTATAGTTTCAACTAATTTGCTTGGTACTGACATTAGAATTACACGTTCTCAGTATTTAGACACCCAGTTAGGTCCAAATTAATTAACGAGAGATTACGTGCTTGGCACTGAGAGATAGCTGGCAACTTTACCATTAACTATTTAAGTATACTTTGGACTATGTACTTGTTTTGTTTTATAGGTATTAAACAATTGCGTTTCCAAGACCACCATTCATACAACAAACAAGATGCCCCAAACAAGGTTTCTTTCTGTAGACAGTATGATCATACTTGGCTGCCATCATTTCATAGCTTCCTTTTATCAACACGTATTGGACATATAGTTTCATAACAATTAATGCCCACCCCAAACAAATTTGGCTATCACGTGCAGATACCTAGTTCACTGCAGCAGCACCACCATTATTCCAAGGGATCACAGGCGGTGACCAGTAAATACCTAACCAAGGCTATGATGTACTTTTAAGTGCTAGGTGATGCAGTTGGGAAGTGGGTAAGGAGTGGCTGGCATACTAGAAGATTAATACAACCAATACACGTTTAGAGGTCAGTGATGGGTATAGGGTAATGAGGATCCCAAAACACTGGGCTCTAATGCTCAGCTTCCTTGTTTATTTTCCCTAGGTGCTTTCAGCTTGGGAAAGACCAGCTCCACAGGGACGGGCCGGGGAGACCCAAAGGGGGCCCATGCTGCTGCAGTCAGACAATGGCAGTGGCTGGAACGCCACTTTCAGCAGGTTTCAGGGCTGAAGCCTCCAATCGCGATGGGATCGGCCCCCAGGGCACCACGGAGAGCAGGCGACGTCCTTGTTTATTTTCCCTAGGTGCTTTCAGCTTGGGAAAGACCAGCTCCACAGGGACGGGCCGGGGAGACCCAAAGGGGGCCCATGCTGCTGCAGTCAGACAATGGCAGTGGCTGGAACGCCACTTTCAGCAGGTTTCAGGGCTGAAGCCTCCAATCGCGATGGGATCGGCCCCCAGGGCACCACGGAGAGCAGGCGACGCTCCCTCAGCGCACGGGGCACGCAGTGAGGAGACACGCGCAGGCGGCTCCGGGCAGGGAACCCGGTCGACCCCCTCACGTTAGGCGGAGACCCCCCCC